CTGCCAGCAGTGCCAGCCTCCTCCCGGTGGTGGGGGCTGAGGTTGGCTGCAAGGCCCAGCCCCTCTCTGTGGACCCACCCCTGCTCATCTTGCCCCAAGGCTCCACCCCCTCACCAGGCCAGAAGATGGAGCCAGGCAGTGGCAAGAGCCCAGCAGCCCCAGGAGCCTGGGCTGCTGTGGGGAGTCCCATACCCTCCACCTGCCCTGGGCAGTGTGCCCTGGGGAGCTAGGACTTGGGATGGATCTAGACTGTTCTCAGTAGTAGCAGATGATAGAACGAGGAGTAATGGTCTCAAGTTGCAGTGGGGGAGGTCTAGGTTGGATATTAGGAAAAACTTTTTCACTAGGAGGGTGGCGAAACACTGGAATGCGTTACCTAGGGAGATGGTGGAATCTCCTTCCTTAGAAGTTTTTAAGGTCAGGCTTGACAAAGCCCTGGCTGGGATGATTTAGTTGGGGATTGGTCTTGCTTTGAGCAAGGGGTTGGACTAGATGACCTCCTGAGGTCCCTTCCAACCCTGATATTCTATGATTCTATGAAGCTGATTGTGGTGTCTAGGAAGTTGATGCTAGTGTGGGAGTGTTCCAGAGAGAGTTTAATGGGTGGGTGGTGGTTGCTGAAGTTGTGGTGGAAATCTGTGAGGGAGTTTAAGTCATCTGTCCAGAAGATGAAAATGTCATTGATGTATCTCAGGTATATCATTGGTATTTGTCCAGAAATTCTTCTTCAAGGTGGCCCATGAAGAAGTTGGCATGTTGGGGACCCATCCTCCTGCCCGTGGCTGTTCCCGTGGCTTGGACAAAGTAGAATGTAAAACTGTTATGGATGAAGATGAAATGGATGAGTTTGGTGATGTGTTTGGGGTTGATATCTGAGGGTTGTCCATTATCTTGTAAATATTCGAGGTAGGCAGTTACACTGTCATCGTGGGGGATGTTGGTGTATAGGGAAGTGACATCCATGGTGGTGAGGATGGTGTTCTGAGGGAAGTTGTAAATATTGTGGAGGCCGTGGAGGAAGTCACTTGCATTCTAGAAGAAGCTGGACCTTTGTGTAGTAAGTGGTTTGAGGATGGTTCCTGTGAGTCCCGATATTCCTTCAGTAAGAGCGCCGTGATCAGATACGACGGGTCTGCCTGTAGTATCTGAGTGCTGGTTTGTGGGTGCCTTTTGTACAATTTGCATGTCTAAGGGTATGTCTACACTACGGAATAAGGTCGAATTTATAGAAGTCGGTTTTTTAGAAATCGGTTTTATAAATTCGAGTGTGTGTGTCCCCACAGAAAATGCTCTAAGTGCATTAAGTGCATTAACTCGGCGGAGCGCTTCCACAGTACCGAGGCAAGCGTCGACTTCCGGAGCGTTGCACTGTGGGTAGCTATCCCACAGTTCCCGCAGTCTCCGCTGCCCATTGGAATTCTGGGTTGAGATCCCAATGCCTGATGGGGCTAAAACATTGTCGCGGGTGGTTCTGGGTACATATCGTCAGCCCCCCGTTCCCTCCCTCCCCCCGTGAAAGCAAGGGCAGACAATCATTTCGCGCCTTTTTTCCTGAGTTACCTGTGCAGACGCCATACCATGGCAAGCATGGAGCCCGCTCAGGCTATGTCTCACCCTATGTCTCCTGGGTGCTGGCAGACGCGGTACGGCATTGCTACACAGTAGCAGCAACCCCTTGCCTTGTGGCAGCAGACGGTACAGTACGACTGGTAGCCGTCATCGTCATGTCTGAGGTGCTCCTGGTCGCCTCTGTGAGGTCGATCAGGAGCGCCTGGGCAGACATGGGCACAGGGACTAAATTTGGAGTGACTTGACCAGGTCATTCTCTTTAGTCCTGCAGTCAGTCCTATTGAACCGTCTTATGGTGAGCGGGCAGGCGATACGGACTGCTAGCAGTCGTACTGTACCATCTTCTGCCGAGCAGCCATGAGATGTGGATGGCATGCAGTCCTTCTGCACCGTCTGCTGCCAGCCAAAGATGTAAAAGATAGATGGAGTGGGTCAAAACAAGAAATAGACCAGATTTGTTTTATACTCATTTGCTTCCCCCCCTCCCCTGTCTAGGGGACTCATTCTTCTAGATCACACTGCAGTCACTTACAGAGAAGGTGCAGCGAGGTAAATCTAGCCATGTATCAATCAGAGGCCAGGCTAACCTTCTTGCTCCAATAAGGACAATAACTTAGGTGCACCATTTCTTATTGGAACCCTCCGTGAAGTCCTGCCTGAAATACTCCTTGATGTAAAGCCACCCCCTTTGTTGATTTTAGCTCCCTGAAGCCAACCCTGTAAGCGCCCCTCCCAGCGTCAGAGCAATGGCAAACAATCGGGCATCTGAGAGTGCTGTCCAGAGCAGTCACAATGGAGCACTCTGATGGGTCTAAAACATTGTCGCGGGTGGTTCTGGGTACGTGTCGTCAGGCCCCCGTTCCCTCCCTCCCTCCGTGAAAGCAAGGGCAGACAATCATTTCGCGCCTTTTTTCCTGAGTTACCTGTGCAGACGCCATACCACAGCAAGCATGGAGCCCGCTCAGGTAACCGTCACCCTATGTCTCCTGGGTGCTGGCAGACGCGGTACGGCTTTGCTGCACAGTAGCAGCAACCCCTTGCCTTCTGGCAGCAGACGGTGCAATACGATTGGTAGTCGTCCTCATCGTGTCCGAGGTGCTCCTGGCCGCGTCGGCTGGGAGCGCCTGGGCAGACATGGGCGCAGGGACTAAATTTGGAGTGACTTGACCAGGTCATTCTCTTTAGTCCTGCAGTCAGTCCTATTGAACCGTCTTATGGTGAGCGGGCAGGCGATACGGACTGCTAGCAGTCGTACTGTACCATCTTCTGCCAGGCAGGCAAGAGATGAGGATTGCTAGCAGTCGTATTGCACCATCTTCTGCCAGGCAGGCAAGAGATGGGGATGGCTAGCAGTCGTACTGTACCATCTTCTGCTGAGCAGCCATGAGATGTGGATGGCATGCAGTCCTTCTGCACCGTCTGCTGCCAGCCAAAGATGTAAAAGATAGATGGAGTGGGTCAAAACAAGAAATAGACCAGATTTGTTTTGTACTCATTTGCTTCCCCCCCTCCCCTGTCTAGGGGACTCATTCCTCTAGGTCACACTGCAGTCACTCACAGAGAAGGTGCAGCGAGGTAAATCTAGCCATGTATCAATCAGAGGCCAGGCTAACCTCCTTGTTCCAATAACAACGATAACTTAGGTGCACCATTTCTTATTGGAACCCTCCGTGCAGTCCTGCCTGAAATACTCCTTGATGTACAGGCACCCCCTTTGTTGATTTTAGCTCCCTGAAGCCAACCCTGTAAGCCGTGTCGTCAGTCGCCCCTCCCTCCGTCAGAGCAACGGCAGACAATCGTTCCGCACCTTTTTTCTGTGCGGACGCCATACCACGGCAAGCATGGAGCCCGCTCAGCTCACTTTGGCAATTAGGAGCACATTAACCACCACACGCATTATCCAGCAGTATATGCAGCACCAGAACATGGCAACGCGATACCGGGCGAGGAGGCGACGTCAGCGCGGTCCCGTGAGTGATCAGGACATGGACACAGATTTCTCTGAAAGCATGGGCCCTGACAATGCATGCATCATGGTGCTAATGGGGCAGGTTCATGCTGTGGAACGCCGATTCTGGGCTCGGGAAACAAGCACAGACTGGTGGGACCGCATAGTGTTGCAGGTCTGGGACGATTCCCAGTGGCTACGAAACTTTCGCATGCGTAAGGGCACTTTCATGGAACTTTGTGACTTGCTTTCCCCTGCCCTGAAGCGCATGAATACCAAGATGAGAGCAGCCCTCACAGTTGAGAAGCGAGTGGCGATAGCCCTGTGGAAGCTTGCAACGCCAGACAGCTACCGGTCAGTTGGGAATCAATTTGGAGTAGGCAAATCTACTGTGGGGGCTGCTGTGATGCAAGTAGCCCACGCAATCAAAGATCTGCTGATATCAAGGGTAGTGACCCTGGGAAATGTGCAGGTCATAGTGGATGGCTTTGCTGCAATGGGATTCCCTAACTGTGGTGGGGCTATAGACGGAACCCATATCCCTATCTTGGCACCGGAGCACCAAGCCGCCGAGTACATAAACCGCAAGGGGTACTTTTCGATAGTGCTGCAAGCTCTGGTGGATCACAAGGGACGTTTCACCAACATCAACGTGGGATGGCCGGGAAAGGTGCATGATGCTCGCATCTTCAGGAACTCTGGTCTGTTTCAAAAGCTGCAGGAAGGGACTTTATTCCCAGACCAGAAAATAACTGTTGGGGATGTTGAAATGCCTATATGTATCCTTGGGGACCCAGCCTACCCCTTAATGCCATGGCTCATGAAGCCATACACAGGCAGCCTGGACAGTAGTCAGGAGCTGTTCAACTACAGGCTGAGCAAGTGCAGAATGGTGGTAGAATGTGCATTTGGACGTTTAAAGGCGCGCTGGCGCAGTTTACTGACTCGCTTAGACCTCAGCGAAACCAATATTCCCACTGTTATTACTGCTTGCTGTGTGCTCCACAATATCTGTGAGAGTAAGGGGGAGACTTTTATGGCGGGGTGGGAGGTTGAGGCAAATCGCCTGGCTGCTGGTTACGCGCAGCCAGACACCAGGGCGGTTAGAAGAGCACAGGAGGGCGCGGTACGCATCAGAGAAGCTTTGAAAAACAGTTTCATGACTGGCCAGGCTACGGTGTGAAAGTTCTGTTTGTTTCTCCTTGATGAACCCCCCCGCCCCTTGGTTCACTCTACTTCCCTGTAAGCTAACCACCCTCCCCTCCTCCCTTTAATCATTGCTTGCAGAGCCAATAAAGTCATTGTTGCTTCACATTCATGCATTCGTTATTCATTCATCACACAAATAGGGGGATGACTACCAAGGTATCCCAGGAGGGGTGGTGGAGGAGGGAAGGAAAATGCCACACAGCACTTTAAGCACAGCACTTTAAAAGTTTACAACTTTAAAATTTATTGAATGACAGCCTTCTTTTTTTTGGGCAATCCTCTGTGGTGGAGTGGCTGGTTGGCCGGAGGCCCCCCCACCGCGTTCTTGGGCGTCTGGGTGTGGAGGCTATGGAACTTGGGGAGGAGGGCGGTTGGTTACAGAGGGGCTGCAGTGGCAGTCTGTGCTCCAGCTGCCTTTGCTGCAGCTCAACCATACACTGGAGCATACTGGTTTGGTCCTGCAGCAGCCTCAGCATTGAATCCTGCCTCCTCTCATCACGCTGCCGCCACCTTTGAGCTTCAGCCCTGTCTTCAGCCCGCCACTTACTCTCTTCAGCCCTCCACCTCTCCTCCCGGTCATTTTGTGCTTTCCTGCACTCTGACATTATTTGCCTCCACGCATTCGTCTGTGCTCTGTCAGTTTGGGAGGACAGCATGAGCTCGGAGAACATTTCATCGCGAGTGCGTTTTTTTTTCTTTCTAAGCTTCACTAGCCTCTGGGAAGGAGAAGATCCTGTGATCATTGAAACACATGCAGCTGGTGGAGAAAAAAAAAGGGACAGCGGTATTTAAAAAGACACATTTTATAAAACAGTCGCTACACTCTTTCAGGGTAAACCTTGCTGTTAACATTACATACATAGCACATGTGCTTTCGTTACAAGGTCGCATTTTGCCTCCTCCCACCGCGTGAACGGATTTTGGTTGAATGCCAGCAAACATACACTGCAATGCTTTGTTCTACAGTGATTCCCCAGTACGTGTTGCTGGCCTGGAGTGGTAAAGTGTCCTACCATGAAGGACGAAATAAGGCTGCCCTCCCCAGAAACCTTTTGCAAAGGCAGAACCGCAAATGCCAGGGCAAAGTAATCCTTTCACATGCTTGTTTTTAAACCATGTATAGCATTTTAAAAGATACACTCACCAGAGGTCCCTTCTCCGCCTGCTGAGTCCAGGAGGCAGCCTTGGGTGGGTTCGGGGGGTACTGGCTCCAGGTCTAGGGTGAGAAACAGTTCCTGGCTGTCGGGAAAACCGGTTTCTCCGCTTGCTTGCTGTGAGCTATCTACAACCTCCTCATCATCATCTTCTTCGTCCCCAAAACCTACTTCCGTATTGCCTCCATCTCCATTGAAGGAGTCAAACAACACGGCTGGGGTAGTGGTGGCTGAACCCCCTAAAATGGCATGCAGCTCATCATAGAAGCGGCATGTTTGGGGCTCTGACCCAGAGCGGCTGTTCGCCTCTCTGGTTTTCTGGTAGGCTTGCCTCAGCTCCTTCAGTTTCACGCGGCACTGCTTCGGGTCCCTGTTATGGCCTCTGTCCTTCATGCCCTGGGAGATTTTCACAAAGGTTTTGGCATTTCGAAAACTGGAACGGAGTTCTGATAGCACGGATTCCTCTCCCCAAACAGCGATCAGATCCCGTACCTCCCGTTCGGTCCATGCTGGAGCTCTTTTGCGATTCTGGGACTCCATCATGGTCACCTCTGCTGATGAGCTCTGCATGGTCACCTGCAGCTTGCCACGCTGGCCAAACAGGAAATGAGATTCAAAAGTTCGCGGTTCTTTTCCTGTCTACCTGGCCAGTGCATCTGAGTTGAGAGCGCTGTCCAGAGCGGTCAGAATGGAGCACTCTGGGATAGCTCCCGGAGGCCAATACCATCGAATTGTGTCCACAGTACCCCAAATTCGAGCCGGCAACGTCGATTTAAGCGCTAATCCACTTGTCAGGGGTGGAGTAAGGAAATCGATTTTAAGAGCCCTTTAAGTCGAAATAAAGGGCTTCATTGTGTGGACGGGTGCAGGTTTAAATCGATTTAACGCTGCTAAATTCGACCTAAAGTCCTAGTGTAGACCAGGGCTAAATACCTGACTGTGGTTTAAGTTCTTGGGTGTCTAGATGACCTTAAATGATGCTCACAGAGAACTGTGGTTGCAAAACTGTAGGTACAAAGAGAGAGCCCTGGCTAAGGTCCAGAGGAAAATCATGTGCAAAGAGTACAACTGTTCAACCCTTGAATCTTTAGACAAATAGAATACACTCGAGATAATTTGCTAACTAGGAGTGCTTTGCCCTTTGCAGGTAAGAAAAATAAATGTAAAAGTTTCAGTCTGGAATAGTAATAATAATAAATAAAGTGTCGCTATTGATATTCTCAAGCATTATTCAAAGACAGCCAGTGAATGCAATTGTTGGGTCTGCCAGTCTCCCTCGCAGCAGCCAGTACAGCGCAGTTTCTGGGCCAGAGTCAGACAGTGGCAAATCCTCAGTGATGTCTGTGTAAATCCACAGTAACGCCTTAGACTTCCATCAAGAGTGGCATTTGGTGCTTTTATTTCGATTGCAATTCTTGCACTGCCAGAGCTAACTGGCGGCATATAGCCAACTTCCTTCATTAGTGGTGGGGTGGAGCTGCGGCACCCCAGCGGGAGTTTCCAGTGGTTCAAGAAGACACAATGCTGCCTGGAATTCCCAGGGATCGTAGCCTTGGTGCTGCTGTAAAAGAGTCTGTAGCTTGCACTCTTCTCTTCACCCATCCAGCTCTGCTGGAGGCTGGGTAATGGTACTTCCCCTCGCTGCTCCCTTTGCAGAAGTTAGCTCTATTAGTGGTGCTGATCCTGAAACTCCTTGCATTCCTCTCTTCTGCTATGGCCCCTTTCCACTGCTGGGATGGCACAAAGGGGCAAGAAACCCAGCAGATCTGGCCATCTGGGAATTGCTCCTACATGGTGGAAATTCACTGAGGGTAATGTACTGGCTCTATTCTCCCACCTCCTTACAGTTCCAGTTTAGAGGGTGTGGTCAAGGGGGAAGAGGATGTGGCTGAAAATCTATACTCTGGCTTTTACCAGCTGTCAAGAATGTGGTTGGAGCATCTATGCTTTGGCTGTTCCCAGCTTCCAGAATGTACTTTTGGGGTCAAAGGCAGCTGGGAATAAGTTAGAGCTGCTCTGGGGCTGGCCCCAGCATCCTGGAGCCACAAACGTAGCATAAAGTCACTTTTACCCTCCTCCATGTCTGAGCATACTCAGGCAAACCCTGGAATCAGGCCCTCTTGAGGGCAAGGAATCCCATTGCTGCTTGTCCCTGTTCTCCTGTTATGCCAGGCTGTGTGTGCACTTTCCCTTTCTTGTGCACCAGTGCAAGGGGAAGGGCATAGTCTGGCCTGTCATAGAGATGGTGGGGATTGTTTACTTTTTATTTATAAATATAGACACTTTCCTGCAGGGAATTTAGCTAACAAAGCTAAGATCACAGAAACGAACAAATTGTTACCCCTTTTGGTCTGAGTGGTTGACTAATATCTGGGTCTTGTGGGTTGTTTCCATTGGGGAAGACATTGTTGAAGGAGCCAAATATGTATTTGGTGCAATCCTGTTTGTTTACAAAACATGTACAAAGTCCTGTTTCTCTGAACAAAGTGGGATTGAATGAGAGGAGGCAGTTTCCTTGCTCACAATTCCAAACCTGTCTTTCCAGCAGGCATTCCGCCTAAACAGCTTGCTCTCTCTCTCTGGGCTCTGTCTCAGGGGCACTCTACAAGTGCGTCTCTTGCTATCTCTCCTGGTTTTTCTGCTTGCTTTCTGCCTGCTTCTCCCTTCGTCTGACCCACAGACACATACAGCTCCAGCCGTTATTCCCCATTCCTTACATTGACATTTGTTCTCTGATGTAGCCTGAACAGAAGGTGGCTAGTGCATCCATCAGCTTCAGTGACGTCTGTACTGTGCAAGGGGAAGGGCATAGTCTGTCCAATAGTCCAAAAAGCCTGGGAGCCACCCACACTACCGGGTAACAACAACCCCTGTCTCCATTCCACCCATCAATCCAATGAGTCCAAAATGGTGATGTGCAGCGTGACCTATCCCAAACAGCATGAAAATAATTAATGTATAAATTACAAATGATACAAGTTTCATTGGTTACATAGCGTTTTTTGGTCAGGACATATTCACATCACCAACCCAACTGATTTCACTTCCATCCAAATCTCCTTGGGGCTTTTCTCTCCCTGCCCAATTTCCTTTCAGCCAACCAGTGGGGGCCTGTTTTAGTGGGCCCCTGAACAGTGTCTGTTGTTTTTTGTGCAGCCTGCTGGCTGGGACCCACTCTGTCCATTTTGTTCTAATGGGGGCTTCATCTATGTCACAACTCTTCCAGCCTCAGTTTCTACAGCTCCATTCCCAGTGTCTGAGGGTAGCCAGGCTGAAATCCTGTCCCTCTTAGACCTTCTCAGATGGTCCTTATGAATAACTTTGGGTTTCATCCTGGGACCCAAATGTATTCTAGACACTTCTTCATTTATATGGGTCGGTATTGTATAGGTTTATTTAGCTTAGGCTCCTACCTTTCTTCCTCCTCGGATTGTGGAACCAGACCAGATCCTTTCTTTTAACTTTCCATATATGATTTTATGTCATAGAGACTTTTTATTTGGTCAGAGGCTGCCCTCAAATTTTCTCGGGCAAAGGTGTGAACTTTCTCTGTTTTGTAGTAATGCAATAAAATACTAAATAAATAATAATGGTAGGATTAACCCATACTGTTAGGATTAATCTCTGAACTGAGGCATTAGGTGATCCAAACTGGTGTGTGTGGTGTGTGTGTGTGTGTGTGTGTGTGTGTGTGTTGTTATTGTTGCAACTCCATCTTTTATGATCCAAGTTGCAACCCACAGAAAAGGTGTATGTGTGGCTTGGTGCAGCAGCCCCTTGGTTCCACAAGGAAGTGGATTGGGCTTTATCCCTGGCAGCAGGAAGAACATGGCAGGGAATTTACCTCTCTGGTGGAGCGGAGATGCCTGCACACTGCCTCTTTGCAGTCCAAGGAGCTGTCCAGCAAAGTCGTGAGCAATTGCTTGGCCTCTGCTTTCTTGGCCCTGTGGGGGCAGGCAGCATGGCTGCCTGGAGGATGCCCTGGGTCTTGTGCTCTGAGAGGAAGCAGGGCATCTTTTGGCAGTGCAGGAAAGCCTGCAAAGCATCCCCTACTCCACTTCCTTGCGGCGTGACAGTGGTCAGTTGCAAGCGTAAGATGTGATGATGACGTGCACCAAGATGTGCAGCCAATCAACCAAATTGGGACTTTACAATGGCAATGGGACAACTTTAAAAACTGGGGCCAGATACAGAACATCCTGCATGATGTGGGACACTGGAGAGGTATGGTGGTCACCTTCCATCTTCCTCACTAGCAGCTGTTTCCTTTTCTGGTGGGCTGCTGCAAGGAAAAAGTCAAGTTCTGTGGCAAATTCCACTTCTTCATGAGGTGTCCTTCTCTTCCTTTCACTGATCTTCATCTGCAAGTTCAAGTGCACCTAAGCATCTCTAAATTGGTCCATTGCCAATTGATCTTGGAAGTCCTCATTGGGTACCTGGGTTCTCAAGTCTCCTGCCATTTCAGTTGGGGGTCTTTTCTTTCCCTCTCCTAGGTATTACCTGTTACCTGGCCAACTCGGATTGATGGCTCATTCCACACAGCACATCAGTGACTTTTAACAGATCTAGATAACTCAGTTTCTTTTCTGAAGGTAAATTCTACATCATGATCAGAGCTGAGCCACTCATGTTGGCTCTAAATTTCCTCTCTGTCCATCCCCACAAACATTCATTTGTCTGTGATGTTGAACTGAGACAAATAAGCTCCTAGAGAGTTTTTTCCTCAAAGGTTATGGGATTTTGCATTATTTGAGCTGGGATAATTTGACCTTTCCCTTCTGGATCTCTGTGAGCTACAGCTGAGTTAGAAAACTGTTGTAAATGTCCTATATTACCCAAGTTGTCTGGCTGGCTCAATTATTCACCTAGGTGAGTAATTCCACTGTGAAAGCCTTCCACTGTGGTCTGCAACACTTTGAATTCCTTCTCAAGCTGATTTTTTAGCTCTTGAAATCCTTGCTGCAATTCATCTCTATTAGCAAGTTTCAAATTGGCCAAAATTCTCCTGGGTTCCCCCATGTCCTGCAAAACCATCTGGTCCATGACACTCAGGTTGCTGGTCACCTGTTGAATCTATTTTGTGAGTCCAACTTGGGAGTTTTTCAGTTGGACTTCTCAATCTGCCCAGACACTTTGTAGCTGCTGCCCCAACAAAGATTTTGTCTCCAACTGGAGGTAATTTCTCCTTTCTGAGAAGCTTCCAGATGGTGCTTTAATTTCTTTTGCAAAGTCTCCAACTCTTGTTTTAGGTCTAATTTTAATTTCCTTTGTGAAGTCTCCAGCTCCTGTTTTAAATCCTTTTGGCCACCTTTGATTTCTGTGAATATCTCCATTATTTGTTCCACCTTGGCTCAAGGGGAATATCAGCTCTCAATTTCTCACCTTGGAAATTGGATCCCACGTCGGCCACCAGAGGCTCAAATGAGTAATCAATATTGGGGGTCTTGCAGGTTATTTCTGTTAGGAGAAGAAATGGATGATAGTCAGGTATATCTTTGATGCAATCCTGTTTATTTACAAAGCATGTACAAAATCTTGTTTCTCTGATTAC